CTTACTAGGATCAATTGCAGATACGCAGCTTGTCAGTATAAGTTGTTTATTAGCATAAGCTCGATAAGCTGCAGCTACCCCAAAGAGACCCTTAATTGACCTAGGATCAATTTTACCCAGTAGGGGCAGTATTCTAAATAAAAGCCGTACAAGGTTTAAGAGTAGCGAATGACCAATTGGTAGGGAAACATGACATCAAGATGACTAATAGAGTTCTGAAGTTGTGATTTTTTGTGGGGACTGTATTGATGAAATAGGTGGCAGTAAGCACAGTGTCACTCTGAGACCTTTTCAGGAAATTAGACTAAAACATAATGGAACAAGCCAGTTTGAGAAGATATTGATTTTCTCTCGGCTTCCCCATTTTGTTGATAAGTGTTTACACATATGCTATGGTGGAGAATGCTCTTACTTACCAAGAATTCACCTAATATAAAGTTAAAAAATTCACAACAATTGTCGGTTCGAAAGACTTAAATTGATGTTTTGAATTGGGTCAAAATGAAGGAGTGAAAGTTATTTAAGGTGACCGCAACTTCAGATTTATCTTTTAAGATAGACCCCACGTCATTCAAGTAAGGTCATCAATCAAGGTAAAAAACCACAGTGTATTAGTGTAGCTGAGAGTGCGAGAGGATCCCAATAAGTCACTGTGAAGCGGAAGACGTGTAAGAGAGATGGATACAGAATACGACGTTGTTTAACTAATTGACAAATCTCATATTTGAATCTAGCAATATTGTTATTGGTAAATATCGACGGTATAATTGTTTTAAATATTGAAAACTGGGATAAACCAAATGATAATACAACACAATAGGACACTCAGTGGATCGAGAAAAATTACAACTGAAAAAAGTATCCTCGTTCTAACTGCATTTCTCTTGGAAGAAGTAGAACTTGGTTATCCCGCTTAGCAGTTTCAATCATACTTCTCCAACAACAATCCTGAAAAACACAAAAATTAAGAAAAAAATGAGTGATCAATCAATGTCATTTGACAACTTAGTGACAGATAAAAGGTTACACTTCAACGGAGGTACATGTAACACAAATCCCAAAGTTAGATGGTTGTTAATACAACTGGCCATTTACCAACAATGGAATTACAAGGGTCAGATGTAATTTTAATTGTATCTTTTTCGAAACAAGGATAATATGTCAAGAAAACTTTGAGAGTGTCCAGTCATGTGGTCTGTGATACCTAAATCAATAATCCATGGACTATAAGAGCCAAATAAAGAGTGTCATAGAAATGGTACCTTGACGGACATGGGAGGTCGACGGGTCGGAAGTAAACTGACTGGATCCATGCAAGCTTGATTAATTGTTCCATCCGATTGTTAAAAGAGTCGGGTGATTCCAGAGTGTTCCGAGTGGGAGTTGGTTGTACTGTAGCATATTCAGATGTCGTTGTGAGACCCTTAGCAGAGGAGGATCTAGTTGAAAGTTTGTATGTCGGTTTCTAATAGAGTATCCAACACTTCTCACGAGTATAAATTGGTTTGTGATAGTAATCACAAGTGAAGCCAGTGGCTCGAGATGGCATGAATGAGTGTTCAGAACAAATAATGATCAAGGTAGATTATTTGACTAAAGTGGAAGTATTAAGCATGACAAATCTCTAGCTCTCTTCATGTAGAATCTCTGTGAATGTAGCACGAGCGGAAGGAAGGAGATCCCGGCCAAGAATATGGCCCCGGACTTCATCAAGGACTTTGCTAAGGTCTGTCGGAAATTGGAACATGCGATCTTTTCATATAATTTTCTAAAAGAGGGAAAGATTTGTAGAAGATTCTTAGTGTAGTCGTAGTAGAGATCGCATTCCATCAATAAGACCACCAAATCATTATCGTAGTGGGTCATGGTCCTCAATCCCTCTCCGTCTCGCAGATCTTCTTGGAAACCTCATAAAGTTTGTTGGAGTTCCCTGCATCTGAGTACTTGTAGTTCATAGGACACTGACAGAAAGAAGAAACATATACGAGCGGCCAATTACAAACTTCATGAAGTTAATCAGCCACGACATGACCATAGAATTCTTCACTTCCCACACTTCATACGTCGGTTCAGTTTTAGGAGGTACATAAATCATACCAGTGAGATAGCTAAATTTCTCGAGTCCCTTGACTCACGACTTGGGACCATTGAGGAAAATTAGAACCGTTCAGTTTATGGGTGGTGATTAAAATGTTCATATGGTTTTTCATCCTCCGGTCTGCAAGGGATTGAGATCGATGTCGGCCCTCCGGTGGACTGAAGTACACCATCAGAAGAAGGGTCAATGGCGAAAGGAGTCCATCAAGATTCCAACTGAGCCAAATGTGAGGTTGGGTTGCTGATATATAGGAAGATCCTGGAGGCAGGAAAGAATTCTGAAAACACTAAACGAGGAGAACATGCTTTAAAATAAGAAATTTTAGAAACACCAGACGGGGAGAACAAGCTCTAGAGTAAGAATCATGGCTCTAATACCATGTTAACTTTTGAGAACTGAGCTTCAACTTTTATTGATAGGAAAAGGGGCATAAATATACATTACAAAACTCAAATAAAAAGAAAGACCAAATTAAAGGAAAAGAATAAATTTAGAAATAGAATACACAGGAAATATATAAATATGAAAACAGAAGCAAATAAAGCTAATAATAACTACAACGAAAATAATAATTCTAATACATTATTATCTTCATTTTACACAAATTGCATTCATCAGCATCATGAGCAGAGCTTATCCAACAATTTTTAACTTTTAAATTATTGAAAACAAACTCCCTTATTAGAACACCTAAAAATAATGTGCACCATATCACATTAATATATAAGAAAATCCATCAAGAATGATGTCACATGTATATAATTTCCATTCTTCATGAGTGTAAACCTTGACATGTCACTATTGGTCATTTAGGGACTAGTTTTAATACCGGTCCCTTCACCATCATACAACAGTTTCAAAAATTTATTAGTAGAATTATATTGCAACCAAACACGCTTAACAAAGGGGCTAATGTTGTGAAAGTTGACAATTTCATCGAAACACTTGCAATAAGAAAATCATTCATCATATTGTATGCATGTATGTGTGTCTATATATATATATATATATATAGGTTTTCTATTGGGATTTGACCAACTTAATGATATGTTTTTTTTTTTTTTTTGGCACTAAATATGGCGTGCGTTGGATGATTGATTATAGAGCTATAGATTACTATAAAATCAGTGCTTATCTACGCAAAAAACCAAGCGAGCTGCAAGCCATGTATAAGGATAAATAGACAACTGACCTTTCCATCTCCATCATTGTCAAAGGAATGAATCATATGACCAATCTCAATATCTGTCCAACTAAAATCATGAGCTGAGACCATTTTCTTCACGTCCCTTGCGGTAATGTAACCTTTACTGGTTTCTGCAGAGCAAATAATCAGAAGCCTATGTGCATTTTACAGGAAAATTTCATTCCATCATTTCAAAAGATAAAAAAATGTACAATTACTTCAATTAGTGTAATCCATTTTTTAATGACGAGCACATTGGAAATATGAACAGATGAAACATTTTCTTTGTTTCATGTACAGTCAAAAATAAATTTTAATCAAAATAAGGAAAGAGAAGTCAAGCATTTATTAAAGAGCTTGACGTAAATCTAATGAAAGAGTGGAAGTTTGGTAGCTATAATAATACATGCTTAGGATTGCTTATTGAGTCTAGGTTTATTTGAATTTAGTTTGTTCCTTAATCTTAGGAGTTAGTTGCTATTTTTGCTTGAATTTTATTTATTGTTACTTTCTTGGCTGATTTTTAGGTCTTTTCTAATAAAGTTTGTTATTAGCTCCTAGCTTTAAAATATTGTAGGGCTACACAAAAGGTGTGGTTCTATTTTCCCTTCAATCTACAACAATTTTCTTAATTTTTCTCTTCTTTCTCATTTCAAGAAGCCAACAATTTGGTATCAGAGCTCTCTTCTTAAGAGATCTATGCGTGAGTTCGAGCGACAATGGAGATCAAAGCTAGTTTTTCCTTAGTTGCTCCACCAGTGTTTGACAGAGACAACTACCGGATCTAGGCAGTCGGCATGGAGACGTACCTGGAAGCTTTGGATCTCTGGGAAGCAGTGGAAGAAGACTATGACATTCCTCTTCTCCCTGAAAATCTCACCGTAACACAAATTAAAGCACAAAAGGAGAAGAAGACAAAGAAGTCCAAGGCAAAAGCTTGTTTGTTTGCTGTAGTTTCCTCTACGATCTTCACTCGTATCATGTCGTTGAAAACAGCAAAAAGGATTTGGGATTATCTCAAATCTGAGTATGAAGGAGATGAAAGAATTCGAGGGATGCAGCTGCTAAACTTGGTTCGTGACTTTGAATTGCAAAAGATGAAGGAGACAGAAACCATTAAGGAGTACTATGACAGACTACTCAACATAGCAAATCGTGTCAAATTATTGGGTTCTTCTCTGGAAAATTCAAGGATTGTTCAGAAAATCCTTGTAATACTGCCTGAAAGATTTGAGGCTACCATCACCACCTTAGAAAATACGAAGCATCTGTCAAAGATTGCTTTGACAGAACTCTTAAGTGTTTTACAAGCACAAGAGTAGAGACGTATAATGAGACAAGAAAGAGTTGTCGAAGGAACTCTTCCAGTCAAGCATCAAGATGATGAGAAGAATAGAAGGCCCAAAAACAAGAAGTTTCAAGCTACAAGTAAACAAAAGAAAGATTACCTTTCATGTCGTCCTCCTTTCAAATGTTGGAGAAGACAAGATGCAAAGTGCAGCAAGTGCAATCAAATGGGACATTAAGCTACATGAAGCTAAGCTATCATTTGCAAGAATAAAGATCAGCAACAAGGAGATGAAGCACAAGTGGCAGATCAAGAAGAAGATGATCAGCTTTTCATTGCAACTTGTTTCACGAGTTCTGAAACAAGTGAAAACTAGTTCATTGATAGTAGTTGTATTAATCATATGACACATGACAAGTAGTTGTTTAAGGAATTGAAGAGCACCGAGTTCAAGAAAGTCAGAATTGAGAATGGTGAATATATATTGCAGTCAAAGGAAAGGGCACCGTATTCATTGCAAGTTGTTCAAAAACCTAGTTGATCGCCGATGTTCTCTATGTACCAGATATTTATCAAAACTTGCTTAATGTTGGTCAATTAATAGAAAAGGGATTCAAAGTGACGTTTATGGAAAAGGCATGTTTGATAGAGAATGCTACAAGCCAAAGGATGTTTGAAGTTAATATGGCAGGAAGGAATTTTTCACTCAATCCAATGCAGAAGAAGCAGAAGGTTTTTGGTTCTTTTTCCAATGAAAGTTCTGTAAAACATGCCGACTCACTAGAAGTTTCATTGATTAATGAGGGTAATGAAGGCCATTTAGATGATCTTACGATAATGAAGGAAACACTTCGAGTTAAAGATGAAGAACTTTAGCAATTGGCCAAAGAATTAAGTGTAAGAGATTCAACCATATGTGATAGCAAACAAGTTAACTGAGACAGCTCAGGCTGTTGAAGTAGTTGCACCTGCAGCTCTTACTATGGATGAAAAGAGGAGGCTTGCTTACACAGAAATTGAACGACTGGCCAATGATTCAAATAAAAAACTTCAAGGAACCATTCTTAAGTTAAAAGAATCAAAAGAAAAGGTTGCAGCATTTAGCAGAGATAGAGAGATCCTGCTCAAGCAGAGAGACTCTGCTCTTCAAGAGGTACATTTTTGGCGTTCTAAGCTCGCAAAAGCTAGAGAACATGTTGTTTTATTAGAAGCGGTTGTAGTTCGAGTTGAAGAAAGCACCAGGGTTTCACAGGCAGATGCAGAAGCTCGATTAAAAGATGTCGTTGAAAAAGCATTGTTCGCTGCAAAAGTAAAAGAGAATCGATTAACATTTGTGACTGCTTTGCAATCTCAAGTTCAAAGGCAACAAAGTTCCACAAAACAAGTGCTGGAAGAGAAACCCGAGTCAAGCTCAGGCTTCATCAAAACGGTGCCAATGACGAAACTTGCGGACTTGGAAGATGATGTCGATAAAGCTTGCTTAAGTGATTCAAAACTCATTCGGGTTTCTGGTGACAGCAAGCAATTGACTACCAATGGTGTTGATATTCATATCATTGTCATTTCTCATAACTCTGTGTCTCATGGAAACACTAAGTATTTCAACATCAAGTTATTTTTTCTAAGAGAAGTGCAGAAAAAAGAATTTGTGACTCTGATTTACTGCAAATCTAAAGATCAGTTGGCAGATTTGCTTACAAAGTCACTTCCAATCAGCAAGTTTGAGTTTCTAAGGCAGAAACTTGGTGTTCGCAGATCCTAAAACAAGGAGTGTTGGAATACATGCTTAGGATTGCTTATTGAGTTTAGGTTTATTTGAATTTAATGTGTTCCTTAATCTTAAGAGTTAGTTGCTATTTTTTCTTGAATTTTGTTTCTTGTTACTTTCTTAGCTGATTTTTAGGTCTTTTCTTGGAAGTTTGTTATTAGCTCCAAGTTTAAAATATTGTAAGGCTACACTAAGGGTGTGGTTCTGATTTCCCTTCAATCTACAGCAAGAAATTTTAGTTTTTCACTTCTTTCTCATTTTTTAATGACGAGCACATTGGAAATATGAACAGATGAAACATTTTCTTTGTTTCATGTACAGTCAAAAATAAATTTTAATCAAAATAAGGAAAAGGAAGTCAAGCATTTATTAAAGAGCTTCACGTAAATCTAATGAAAGAGTGGAAGTTTGGTAGCTATAACAATACAAACAAAACTAGTTGTCTTTTTTATCCCAGCCTCCATGAGTTCTTCGATGTAGGACCACCAATCAGATAGACAATTACAAAATTCTACACAAGTAAATTGCAGGATACTTCTAGTATTAATTGATGTAGGGAATAAACAAATTTAGAGGCCTCCAACAATGGAAATTCTGAGAAGAGAGAGATTTTGCATCTGATTTTAGATTTTATTTTTAATTCGAGCATGTTAATGTTACTAAGGAAGCAACCTAACCACTAAAATTATCCAAATCAAGTCATTTCTTCCAGTTTGTTAACTCTCTTCAGAAACCCATTTTAGCATAATAATCCACTGACATCGAAGATGACTTCCACTATTTTCAAAAATTAAGTAGGACTTCAAGCATTTAACTTCTAATTATCACATCATCTTCATACCTAAAAAAATTCCTTTCATACATTAACAGATTAAACCAAGTGATTTCGTTATTACGGATTAACCCCACAAGTTAATTGACAATGTTTGTGATAATTTGTACATGATTTAAGACGCACAATTAGCTTATAAAGCCTTCCAACCTACCAACTTTGCTAAACCTTTCAAAGGTAAGCCTACCTGAAGTATAGGAATCATCAATAAGTGTTTGCTAGGCATGGAGATGACAAGCAGTGTTAACTCCTGTATTGGACAAGAAATCTTGTAATCTTAGCTGTAGAAGCAATTTTCAAGTCAACTTACCAAGAAGGGGAATTATTATTCAAAAATCTTAACTTTTATACAGACTAACGCTAAATAAATCTACAAGATGAGGATACTATACTGTTCAACTACATGAAGAAAATAAAGACAAGTGCGGTATCATCCTGCATTTAAAACATCCATGTATTCCAAGCATACATAAGCAAGATAAAGTCAATAGCTTAAATAATACCATCAAATGAGAAGAAAAAAGCAACCACCTCATCTTCGGTTAATTGAACTCGAGCCTTGTTCTGTGAAATTGAGACAATATAAAATGTCAGAAGCAAGGTCATCTAAAGCTATGTACATAAATATGTACCATCTAAAGTCTATATTATTATTTAGAAGTGGCTTAATTTTTGTCCCATCATAAAAATAAACATTAAGTCTTTATGTACAGCCCAAATCATAAAATCACACACATGACTGAATGCTTTACCCTCAATTAAGATGAGATGAGAAAAAAAATGTTAAATGTGAGTTTGAAGCTATTTCAAAGGTCAATCATACCATCACATTAGAAAACTGGTTAAGTTTGTTGCACAAAACAGTTCACAGTTCAATGTTATCCTCAAACAATGACTAATCACATCCATTGATAGAATAAAAAAAGAAAGAGTATCTGATGTGAAAATAGAGCCAAAGACATGATTTACACATTCTTTCACTAAACCGTATATTTATTAATAAAATGATTAAATATAAATGAAAGTCAACTTAAGGATCATATTTGAAGTCCCCCGAAATTTGTCATTATAGAACCTAAATCATTCTAGCTTATGTGCTTGGGGCACATGCAACCTTTACTAGTTTAATACTTGAATGATTACAAACCAATTTTCCAACTTTCTTTCTTCTGGCGGATTCTTTTGCCTTTGCCTTATATTTTTTCCCCTGTGCATCTTCCCCGGCTATATTTGCAGAAGAATGCTGAACAACCCCCACTGATGTACTAGCTGAATCACCTGCAGTTGCTCCCAATGAGAGAGCAATAGCCTGCCGAGGAATTTCAAACACTGACACCAAACAAAAGAAAAAATTACATCAGCAAGCATCATGTTACCAACTATGTACCTGCATTAAAGCTGCCTCATCATCAATAGAATCAGATTCAATCAGGCCCCTTCTCACATTTGATCTTCTCTTATCCTTTGCAGCAATCAAGGAGCTTGTTCGCTTACCCTAAAACATAAACAAGAGCTTCATTGTATAAAGCAAATTCTTAGAGACCGCATAGAGTAAGAATTTAGGGATGCATTGACAATAGCTAATTAAAAAGGAATGAAAATAAACAAAGCAGTATTCTCAGTTACATGATTCAGTTTGAGGAGAACAATGATAATGGATGTGAAATGCGTTATGTGCTGGAACCCACAATTACTAAGATGTTTGCCATCATTCCTTCACCTTCTATTGCCTCCTCAAGGATCAACGGGATCCCTATTACCTACTTTTCAATTAATGCAATATTGTAACTATTCTATAAACATTATTCCACCTACACATCAATCAATAGACTTATAATTAATATGTCTATTATTCCCTAATTTTGTATGTTTTTATGAGAAGCTATCCTAAGATTGTATGAATACCAGACAAACATTTGGAATGAAATACTCAGCCAAATCTCTACAATTCTTTATCATCAAATCACCGTAACCATTTTTCATCATTGTATTGCCACAAATTGTTCCCATCGTAGAAGCATTCATGCTGCATTACAACATCTGTTTAACTTTTTGTTTTGTTTCCCATGAACAGAATCATAGTTTCTCCATGTATAATAACAACAATACCCACATACCTTTGGTCCTGAGTTCCCTTGAAATTGAGGGATAAAATCTAAATCGAAATGGGGAGTTGCAAATCAGCTATTCAACATATTGATTGAATGTAACAAACTATCTAAAATTGTCATGATTAGTTTGTTATTTCTTTAAAAAAAATAGGCTTGTTATATGGAACAAAAACGTTTGCTAGATGCGTATGAAAACAATTCTACAACATGTACTTATATTCAAGCATTCTCCAATTTTATATTATCTTCTCATGTCTTTAAGGTTTTAAAGATGTCCATTTCTAGCACCTAAATCATTGAGTCAAGAGTTATAGCTCATATGAGCGAATCATCTGAAAAACTTATTTCATCTACCCCTTATCCTAGAAATAAAAAAATAGCCATAGTTGATGGATCATTAATCATTGTACCTTATCCTAGAAATAAAAAAATAGCCATAGTTGATTAATAAAAAAATTGGATCATTAATCATTGTGGTCGAATAAGAAGAGATTCTTATAACCAAATATCTCACACTTCAAAATGTCCTCTATTTCCTTAAATTATTTACCCACCAATTATTCATTCAAACACTAATGAAAGATTCTAAATTTAGTGTTAAGTTTTATTCTTCATATTATGTATTTCAGTAATAGGGCACAAGGGGAGTTATCGGGCTTTCTAAAAAAATTTGATGTGATGAATCCTGTGATCAAAAAAACTCCATACAACCATCAAGATTATCTCCTCTAAAAAATATTTAAATCCAATAAAACAACCAGCTTCAACATCTCCACCTTGGTAACCCATCATTTATTGATCTCAAGGTCGTTTTTCCATTATTACTAAAATAAACTAGTATTGAAAATTTTAATTGTGATGTTTGTGAATGATCAAGTGGTATAAGAAATCTTATTCAATTTTTCAAATTCATATTGACGTCTAGGGACTATCCTCTATTCATAATATCTCTAAAGCTCAATTGCTTGTGATGCAGGAGCTTACCATCGTGGTACTGCAGCTACAGGATCGCGGTCCCTTTCCCTATTCCGATCCCTTGTCTTTTTCTATTCCCTTCCTAATTCTATTTTCTTCTATTTTAATTCCTTCCTATTCTAACCACTAGTACTTATTATAAATATGTTGTTTGTTGTCTTGGGGTTCAACTTTTGATTAATTCCAAATTTCATATTTCTGTCAAGAGCCACCGACGTCCGTTTCCCCTTTAAGGATTGTATCCAAGATTTAGGGTGGTGCTCCGACTATATCCCTCTCCCGAGGTGGTAATTATCTTCCTCCTTTATCCTTCCGCAGCCTCGCACATCGCACCCTGTCGTCGTATCTCGCTATAGCTGCCTGCAACAACTCCCAGTTTGTTGTTTTCTGCAGTTCTCCGCCTACCAACTGCCTTCCCCTCCCTTTCAGCTTTGTTGCCGCCCAAACCGCACCTCCTCCTTGCTATCCTAGCCATCCCACTACGTTGTTGCCACCAACGACAGCAAGGAACACCACCGGTTGTTGTCCCGTTGCTATCGATCCCCACTCCTTGCTATCATCATCCAACACAACCTCCATACTTTTTGTCCTTGCATTTCAAGACTTCCCCCTTGTTGCCACCAGCATTCCCTTGCTGCCAACCCCACCAACCATCATAAGCCATCTAGTCGACCTCCACCACCTTGGGATACACTTTAGGGGTATTTTTTTTGTGTTGTTTCATATTTATTATCATTTATTTCCTATTTTAAGAGTTATCTTTGTAATCCTATTTGAATTCAACAGTAATATTTCTATTTCTACTATAGTTTAGGTTAACTCTAGTATCATTTGGTATCGAAGTCAACCTAACCCTAGTCTTATCCTAGGGTTTCCTAGCATCTGCCTTACCCCAACCAACAATTTTTTTTTTCTTTCTTATTCCCAAAATTTAGCCATTTTAACCAAACCCTAGTTCTCCTTTGTTGATTTTCAACATCAACAACCTCAAATCAAATTCTCAATACCATCAATTAGTCCACTGCACCCTCTTTCACCTACCAACTTTAAACCCTAGTCATGCCACCAATGAGAGACGCACCCGAGCTTACCCAGGAAGAGATCTGTCGACTTCAACAGAGCAAACATTGAAGATGAAACCCAGGGAGAGACTACCCTAGACCAAGATCGGGAGAGTCGAAGGGGAGCCAGAGGTGAGGATCCGCATTCCTTCCATCTGAAGGACTTTAATGATGCAGAAGGCCGGTCACGACGCTGTGGATTCCAGTATCAAAGGAGGTCGAAAGAAGAGCCAGCATATATAGAACGGGAGAATCTAAAAATAAAGCGGGAAATACAGCGTCAGTTACTATCAGATTACTACATACTGAAAATTTAAACCCTAGCTTCAAAAGTGGACAGCCCACATCATCAAGTAACCACCCCATCTTACAGGCAGAATTCAACCTTAAGATCTCACAGTCATATTATACCGCAGAGAAATCAAAGAAAAAGTTGACTCAGAATAGAGAACAGGTGGAACCAATCCTCATCAATAAATTTGCCCAACAAGAAAGTGTTGCAAGTGTAGCAGATTTGGGCATGTTGAATCAGACTACACAACCATGGGGTGATCTGTTTCACTGAGCAAGGTGTTCTTAAAAATTTGGATAATGACACAGTAGACACTGATGATGGTGAGAACACAAAGAAGGATCGGCCTCTAGATTAGGAGGAAAAGAGGCACATAGTTCCAGCTGAGCCCTTGGGAGGGACTTCAACCTACTTCACGGTGAGTGTTCAAGACAATCTTGAGTTCAAGGAACTACCACCAGATGCATGGCAACCACAGATACAAGAAATTCGGACCATTCAAATTTGTAGACTCATTCCTGAGTTGTCCCTACTGAGGAAAGTTCAACGCGTCATAAATGGAATCCCTTTGGGCCATGTCTCAAAGATTACATGAAATTATTCAGATGCCAGATTCAGATCAACGTGATACCCATCAGCAGATGTCCACACAGGTGGGATGAACCCCATCTTTGAAATGTATATTAGGAGCTTGATGGGGAAGAAAATTCTTGAATGAGATCCAGATACTATCAGTGAAGATGGGGAAGAAAATTCTTGAATAGGTCTCTCCTTAGTGGTTACTAGTGAGAGGAGTGCAGTCTACCACAAATTTCACCCCAAAGTTGATTTCTCCTCACACACAGGATTATCAGCAATATTCCACTGAGTACGAGGAGTGGAAGAAGCTACAAATGTGATGGCTCGATACCTGATTCTTAAGAATACTCGTCTATCTACAGTGTCAGCTAAGGTTGTGCCAAAAGAGGACGGACGTCTATTCTACTAGAATGTGCTATGGAATAACAAAACCTACATGATCAACTTCCCAGGAGATTGCAATATCCTGCTACCATCAATGTGACAAACTTGACTCCATGCTACAATGAACCAGAAGCTTCGAACAATGAAGTAGAAGCTCCCCCAACCCAGGGAGATTGACACGGGAGCTTACCGCAACGGTATTGTAGCTGCTACAGTACTGCGAATACAGTACTCAACAGCTTCAACACCACAATCCCTATTTTGATCTCTTGTATTTTTATATTCCCTTTCTAATTCTAAGTCCTTCCTATTCTAATTCCTTGTTATTCTAATTACTAGTACTTATTATAAATATATTGTTTGTTGTCTTAGGGTTCAGCTTTTGATTAATTCCAGATTTCATATTTTTGTTAACACAGCCACCGACGTCTGCTTTCCCCATCAAGAGTTGCATCTAAGGTTTAAAGTGGTGCTCTGGTTGTATCCCTCCCCCGAGGTGGTGATTCTCTTCCTCCTTTTTTCCTTCGGTAGTCTCCCACATCGCTCCCTACACCGTACCACGCTGCAGCTACCCAAAACAACCCACAAGTTATTGTTTTCTGTAGTTCTCCGTCTACCAGCCACATTCCACTCCCTTCTAGTATTGTTGCCACCCAAGTCATACCTCCTCCCTGCTGTCCCAGCCTTACCACTGCATCACTGCCGCCCCGGACAACCAAGGAACACCTCCGGCCCACTGTACGATAGCTATCCAACTCCACTCCTTGTTGTCATCACCCAGGACAACCTCCATATTTGTTGTCCCAACATTTCTACACTCTCCTTCCTTGTCACCCCCATTCTCTTGCTACCGCCACACCCGCCAACCATCCTGATTCACCTAGCCGACCTCCACCAACCCGGGATACACTTTAGGGGTGTTCGATTGTGTTGTTTTATGTTTGTTATCGTTTATTTCCTGTTTGAATCGTCGTTGTAATCCTATCTGAATTCAACAATAATATTTTTATTTCTATTATAGTTTAGGTCAAATCCGGTATCAGTTTGTCATTTTTCCATGATTGCACTCATGTCTCGTGTAACTTTTTATTAAAAACAAAAAAATAACAAAAGTATAATTTTATTTACATTTTTTAACATGATGAAATATTAATTAGGTGCTAAACTGAAAAGGTAAAATCTGACAATGTCATTGGCTTCTTTACTATTCTATCTCTTTACACACGTGCACACACGTGCAAATAAGTACACATGAGTTATCTTGTGCATCTAACCTAACAAAATAGAGTTGTTCTACGAAATAATGACCTACAACTTGCTATTACAACGACTATTTATTAGAAAAATATCTAAAAATAGTATTAAGCAAGAATTATTTTAATAGTTGCCCACATCACAAATTGCTTATTAACAAAGCCCTTTGGGTTGAAGAGAGCTATAGATCGTAAAAATATTTCAATACCTCAAGAATCTTATTCCAAAAATATTTAAGGGTATTACTTTTTTTCATACTCATATCCAAAATTAACAAAAATAATAATTCACAAGCAATTAAATGAGTTTTCATTGGCCATTCTCCCATACAAAAGGATAAAAAAGATACCATCC